ATACATACATACTTTTTTTGGGTGGGGGGGGGTATAGTTTTTATGGGAAATTGTCTCTTACCAAATACCTTTTGGGGGGAGTCACGTTTAGAGAAACGACGTTTGTGAACCCGCCTTAATGGCAGAGGAGGATCTTATGCAGGTGAACAAATTAGACTTGAAAAGGAAGGGTTCAGTTCATTTTTTAAAACCCAAAGCTAGGATTAAGTACGCCGAAACAATTCAGGATTTGTAAACGTGCAGGAGGACGGAGTTGTTCCAGGTTAACTTGCAAATTTCAGTCCCCTTGAAAATAATCCCCGTTGTTCAAAGGCTCGAACGTTTCCCGTTGGGACAGGCTCCGATTCTGGGTTCAGGTCTAAAACACGCAACCTCCCTTTTCCTTCTCGGTTTTCCTCCATCCCCGGCTGTTCTGTATCGTGGTTTGTTCAACTTGGAACGCCGAACGTAAAGAGGAGCCTCGAATATGGTCACGGAAGTTCATCCTAGCACTCTTGATCTTTTTCAAAGGGATTTTTAAAATAGGTGTTATGGATTATGGGCAATAATAATTTGATTATTAGGTCAGCAAGAACACCTGGGAACAGAGAACTGGCTCATCTAAAGGGCCGTTTTTAATATCCTGGCCCTCAAGAACCGCCAAATTTGTATTCACTCTGCGTTTCTTCCTTTATAAAGTTACTTTCCTGCCTATTATGTCTGGAGAATTATTTCTGTGACCCCTGACGGCTGGAAAAAAAAGGTGATTTTTGTCTGCAAATATTTTGGAAGGTAGTTGAAACAAAAGATATAACTTTACTAACTTAAAACGCTACAGTTAAATTTGATTATTACCTGGAAATCCCCTCACCTGGAATATTTGCTTATTTAATGTAGCATATTTGTTAAATAGGGACAGCTTATAACTATTTGCGGACCTCTTTAAAGGGGAGGAGAATTTATCCTTTTCTCTTTTTTTTTTTTTGGCACCAGCCAGGGAGGATTCTCTATGTTTAATGTTTATTTGATACTCAGATCACTTTTTCTCCTTTTTTGTACCTGAGTCGTTTTTCTTTCTTGTTGTCACTGCTGGAAATATGGCGGGTTGTTTTTTTCCATTTTGTTTTTCTCTTTCGTATTTTATTTTTTTATGATAAAACAAAATGAGTATGTTGAATCAATAATAATAAATAATGTTTCCCTAGGGTGGAAAAAAAAGGGGGACATTTTGATTTCCGCTGTGTATTTTTGCACCATATACGCTCATCCTCTGTGGGTACGGGAAACCATTTTTGCCAAGGGAATGGCAAGGCTGCCTGAATAGAAGCGAAGCTTGTATTGGTTGCCACCAGTGGGTGGCAGCACTGCACTAACCATGTCTGGGCTTGGATTGAAGCCGGTTAGTTCTCACATGCAAACGCCCCCAAAGCTTGCCAGCCAGGGCTGGAGACTGGGTTGGGCCAGTCTTTAGCCAACTTGGAAAGAAATGATGCCAACACTAGAGCCATGGTGGCTCGGGGGCGAGAATGCAGCATTGCAGGCCGACTCTTCCCACTGTCAGCAGTTCGATCCTGACGGGCTCAAGGTGGACTCTGCCTTCCATCCTCCTGAGGTCAGTAAAATGAGGAGCCAGATTGTGGGGAGCAATATGATGACTGTCAACTACTTCAGAGAGCAGTATATAAGTCGAAGAGCTATTGCTATTTTAGAAAAAGGTGGAAGCCAACGAGGTGGACATACCTAAGCGACCCAACTGAGACTCGTACAACGAAGGAAGGGTTATTTGCCCAGACTCCGTGCCGAAAGCCTAAGTCTACGTCGAAGTGTATTGACTGATATTTGCAGGAAAATTGCAACAGAGTTAGCAGGGATTGAACTCACCTTGACCAAAAGATGTTGCTATTTATGTAGGAACAATTGTTTCCTCCATTCCCAATTCCCCCCTCCCCCCCCAAAAAAAGTTTTGAGGATGTTTATAGGGGAGTAAGTGCTGGAGAGATTACCCCACAGACCTAAAAAAATCCTTTTTCCTCAAAAAAGGCAGATGGACTTCTTTGGTTTTCCTTTTTCCCCCTTGAAAATGTTTCACTTCTCATCCAAGAAATTTCTCCGTTACCCCATAGTCGTCTTTGTGCCCAGCCTCTCTTCAAAGACAATGCCATTTATTTCTTTAAAAAAAAAACTTTTAAGAAAACTTTAAAAGTTTTCTTTTCTAAAAGCAGAGCCGACCTACTTGGCTCTGTTTCTCTCCTTCAAAGTCTCTTAGGAGAGCGAATGACTTTCATTGGAAGCCCCAAACTTTCTGAACCGTGATGAGGGAGAGCTTGAACCGCCGGGCCGTTGGGTAATCTGGGCTTCTGTGGACGGCGCTGTAAAAATAGAAGCTTCCAGATGGTCTGAAGAAAATGGGGGGGGGGGGAGCCTCCATAGCTTGGAACATCCTCTGGAGGAAAAATTCAGTATAATTGGAAGCGGCTCTCACGTTACCACTCAAAGTCCTTATTTCAGGGGTTTTCACTTATGTGTTTTCCAGCTTGGCTTTTGGGTTGAATGGTCTGTAAATAATTCAGAAACGCCTCTGTGATTTCCAAGGCTACAATTTTAGAGAGGCATCTAAGGGCAAGAGCGGGCTTGTGTGAGCCACCATTCAGGGGTGGGATTCTACCTGGTTGCACCGGTTCTATAGAACTGGTTGTTACAATTCTACGCAGTTCAGAGAACCGGCAAATCTCATCATTGGCTGGCCCTTCCCCGCCCAGTCACTCCTTACCCGGCATGTGCGCCATCCAACTTGCCTGCTAAGTTGCTATTTTTGCTTTCCCTCCCCACCATCAGCTATTCCAACTATCAGCTGTGCTGGGAGATTTAGATTAGCTGAAAAGCAGGAATTCGTTGGATTTCTTGCTTCCTAGCTAATCTAAAAGCAGAGCTGAACCTTCCTAGCTTCCATTTTTCCAGTTCAGACTCAGGTAGCAGATTGCAGAAAGGTAGATCTCTGAGTGAATCTGCGATTCTGGGAGCAATTAATCTGCCTGCCTGCTTTGGGGTAAAAGTTGCTCATTTTTAATAAAAAAATCAATATTTACATACAAGCCACGCCCAGCCAGCCACATGTCCAAGCCACACCCACAAATTAGGCCACGCCCACAGAACTGGTTGTTAAGAAATTTGAATCCCACCCCTGCCACCATTGGTTGATCTTTGACTGTCCCACAACCAGGATGACTATTTAGTAACAATAAATAGTTAAATATTTAGTTTCAAAAACTTATCTTAAAAACTCGATGTGACTTATGCAAGACTCTGTATTAAATATAGTGCATCAGATAAATTTCCCAGACCCCCGCTTGAGTCCTGGGAACCTCATGGAAATGTCCATATCGTATTTTTTTGGGGGGGGGGGAAGGGGGAGGGCAGGAATATGGAAGTATTCTTCATTGCTCTAGGACTGAGTGGGTTCAATCCCGCTCGTTTTTTCCCCCCATTTCAGACAAAACTGGCTAAAATTAAGACGGTCAGATGATTGAAGGGCTTCAAAAAAACCCCCAAAAAACGCATCCAGATTATTATTATTTTTTTCATCTTGAAAATGCTTTAATAAGGAAGTGTCGACAACACCGTTTTTGCAAAATGTAAAGAGAACTATACAAATTCTTAATACAAAAAGAATAAATTAAAAGCGGATTTAAAAAAAAAAAAATCTCTGCAACTCGTAACAGCGGTCTCTCGTTTTTCTTGATCGCTGCCGTACAAAGGAATCCGAATCATTTTTTTACATGCTTTACAGCCGATTTCAGAAGTTTCTTTTTTTATTTTAGAAAAAAAGTTGATCTTATCTATCTTTATATATAGATATAGATAAGATATAAAGAAGGGAGCTCTTATGCATATCCGTAGTTCCCTTCTTTATATCAAATTAACTAAGCAGTATAACTGGTCATCGTGATAGCACCTGAATGAGCCTGCTGTATCCAAAACGAATATGGAGTTTGAAAAACAAAACCAACTTCCTTTCTTCTCTTCCCAACATTTTCAACACCCAACTGCATATAATATCGTTTAAAAAATAATCCCTGGCCACCATCGGACATGGTGCAAATGCATATACAAAGCTGGAGGAGGGAGGGAAGAGAGGTTTTACATACAGACTAAAAGCATTTTCAGACCTAGTAAGACCCTTTTTTCTTCTTTTTCTTCCTCTATATAAAAGCAGAATTCAAGGGTCGGTGGGGGCAGGGGGGGGGCTAATTGGGGCCGTACACTACCCACGAATACCCCCCTTCGTGTTTTATTCCCATCCTGTTAATCTCCCGATTAACGTTTTTATTTATGTACATTTATTTTTATTTTCCCGTAGAACTGAATCGAGTTTAAACAGTAAAACCTGTTTTACTTTTAACTTCTGTCTTTACTACCAGACTGGCTCACAAGTGCCTCGATCGAAAGAAATAAAAAATACATTGGAAATCACCCTATTTTTTTTTCTCTCCTCCCCCAGCAAACAACACACTCAGGGCCATTTGCAAACTAGCTGAAGGACGTGGATTGCTTTTTAAAAAAATTAACTTTGCAGCCAGGGTTAGAGTTGTGGAGAGTAGAGTTTTTTTTTGTTTTGTCCTTCTGCTCATTCACACCCCAAAAATCTCACCTGATAAGACTAGAAGGTGCATTTAGTGGTCCAGAGGTGAATTTTTGGGCTGTGAACCAACCTTGTTGAAGTAGTGATGGGTAACACTGAATATCATCAACTTACAAACTGGGGGGGGGGGGGCGAATTTGCTTGCAGGGTTCCTTTCCAAGAACCTGGCGATTCTGTATTTTGTTTGAAAACTCCCTGAAAACTTCCTTTCCCATTTTGACCCTGGTCATCTGCCAGCATTCTGGCTTTATCATTTGGCATACAAATTAAAAAGAATAAGAATTAAGAATCAATCAAGATTTCTGGCTGCTTGTTTGAACCGAAAAGTTGGTCTCTCTTTAAAAAAAAAAACAACAACCTGTGAAGTGGTACGTTTCAATGGTTTTGCATGTTTTAAAATAGTAGATAGTAGATCATTCCTTCCCTCCCTCCGGAAAAAAATGACAGATTGACGAAGAAAGCGGAGAATTCTGCTAATTCTCGCTCTCCGATACCCTGGTTCATTTTGTCCCCTAATAAGAGGACGAGCAAAAAGATGCGACAAAACCGGCATTTTCCAACCTCGGCAACTTTGAAGCTGGGTGGACTTCAACTCCCAGAATTCCCCCCAGCTTGGGGAATTCTGGGAGTTGAAGTCCACCCAGCTTCAGGGTCGCCAAGGTTGGAAAACACAGAAAACCATAGAGACATGAGCAAGTGGCGAGGGGAGAAGTTATTTTCACCTTAAAGAAATGTCTGAACGACCCAAGCAGGGCGGTTCCAAGATCACCCAAAAGGTTATTTTCTGGTTTGGCTAAGCGAAGAAGTAAACGATTGGCCAGATTTAAAGGAAAATATTTTGATATTCTGGGTGCAAATCAGCATAAAATGAAATGTTGGAATTTCCCCCCCACCCCTGATTCCGGATTAGGCAGCCTGCTCTGGAGTGGGCGGGTGGGCAGTTGCCATCCTGACTCTTTGGATCTCTCCGTTGTCGGTCCGTGGCCTAAACACAGGTCGTCCTGGACTTACAATCGTTCATTTAGTGACTGAAGTTACGTCGTCACTGACAAAAAAAGGAACTTCGGGCCATTTCTCTGCACGGCCATTGCAGCTTCCCCACGGTCATGTGATTGACATCCAGACACCCGGCAACTGACTCGCATTTCTGACGGCGGCAGCGTCATAATGGTTGAGCCCAAAGTTTCCGTGGCTAAGCGAGACAGTTGCTAAGTGAGGGGTTTTTTGACCCATTTGATGAGTTTTCCTCCCCCATTCGTTCGGCAGTTGTTAAATGAGTAACCTGGTTGTTAAGTGAATCTGGCTTCCCCCTTCGGACTTGGCCCGTCAGGAGGTCGCCGAAGGGGTTCATGTGACACTCCCCTCCCGGGCTTGTTATAAATATGAATCGGCTGCCAAGCATCTGACTTTCGATCACGTGTGACTATGGGGATGTAAAGCGTGGGGAAAAAAAAACGGTTTGGAGCGGTTCGAGTGAACCGGTTGTTCTGGCGATGATTTGGCCCAACCTGCCTGCTCCTGCCCTAGTCTGTCCTACACTTCCGTGTTTTGCACCTCAGCTGATCCGCCCGGCACAGTGGATTGCAAAGCTCAGCTGTCTCACTCCCCGGGGCTGCAGTAGAAGGTAAATATTAAGAGGTGAAAACGGACAGTTTTCAAACAACGCATGTGCGCACAAAGCACGCATTCATCGAACCGGTTGTTACCCCGGTTGAATCCCACCCCTGGGAAATATGGTCCTAAGTCTCTACTTTTCACTGCCACTGTAAACTTGGTCACTAAACGAACTGTTGCAAGTTGAGGACTAGCTGTACATTATCCAACAATGTGCCTCTCATTTTTTGTTCTCCTGTTCACCCCTCTGCATTTCAACCTTTGTGTGTTCCTTCTGTGATCCGTTTTCTTCAAGAGCGAGCTGCTTTCAAGTTCTTTTTAATTTTTTTCCTGACTATTCCTCGCCACTTAATGAATGGAAGCAGTTGATGGGTATTATTATTATTTGCTCTTTGGACTCTCTCTTGAATTTTTTATTTTATTTTTTTTGCTATTGCCAAACTGACGCACAAACACACACAAAAAAAGAAAGGCAGGACACCGATGTTGTCCGGTGGCCATAAAAAATCAAAGTAGCACCATAGAGGAGACTTGGTTTGCTCGCTTCAAGATCTGGCCAGATCAGGGGGTAGCTAATGCAAGGCCCCCCCTCCCCCCTCCCCCAAAGACGGATTTTAGCTCTTGTTAAGACGAGGGGTGATGCAGGGATGGTGGCGTGTGGAGAAGCCCGTGGGCTCGTGAAGATGGTCAGCCCAGAACGGATTACCGGGACCGCAGACATCGCTTCTGGGATTCTTATAAAAATATCGAGGCTTTTTGGAAGTTGGATGGCTTTCTAGATTCATCAAAATCATGGCTTGAGCGTTCGTTCCCTCTCCGTCTCGGCAACCTCGTTTTTTCGGGAATTCAGTGTGGGTGAATTAAGGGCGGATGGTTTCATTTTAGGAACGGAGGGAAAAGTAAATTGAGTTCGGACACGCTCTCTTTCGTATAAGAAAAACTCCCCTGGCGAATCGCAAAGCCTTTTCCTACGATGAGGGGATGCATAATATACTTTTGAGATCACGTTCCATATATCCCGATCTACCTTCCCTTAATTTCGTCCCTTAATTTGAGCTCTTCCCTTATATGGTTTCTTTTCTTTTTGTAACACTGAACATTTTGGGTGGCATTTTCACTTCATCCGATGACCGTTCTTCCAAGCAATATCACGGTGTGCTCTTGCAATTTTTTTGCCAGGGAATGTTTCAAAAAGAACTAAAATTTCCCCTTTCCTCTTATAATTTGGCCTGCCTCCCTGTTCTCCCAGCTGGTTTCTCCCAACAGATCCTGGGCTGATATTCATCTTTCATGTCATCCCTTGCGGGATGGAATCTGTCTTGGCACCTGAATGGCACTAACAGAGTGTTTTAATGGCCGGATATCCTTCCTGTCACCAGAGCGGAGTCTTGTTTGGCAGTTATATTCTCAGTCTGCCCAGCGAGAGAAATATCTGTTCCTACCTAGGATCAAACTCACAGTCTCCTGATTGTGGGGCAAGAGATCCGCCTCTAGGCCACCCCACCATTTTATCCTGGGTTGATATTCCCTGATCTAAAATGGTTCAAGGTTTGTCGGGTCTCAAAAGGGCATCAAAAAGGCTATTGCCACTTCTTAAAAAAATCACCCCGTTTTAGAGAAAAGCGAATCCTTTGGGCGAGTCACCGAAATCTTTGGCAAGCGACCGCCAATTGGTTTGATGACCTTCTGGCTCGTCCCTGTAGACCAAGCCTGGCCAGCTCTCCTGCCATTGAACCAAAACGGGCGTTTGCCATCCTTCTTCGCAGCCGCTTTGAGTTTTACGTTTCCAACCAGGATTTTCAATTTCTGATGGTTCATGTCAGAATATGTTTTTGCACACTGAAGGACAAGGATAATCCAGGAAGAGTTTTGGATTGGACACCCTAATAGCCTTAACACCTGCTGGGGAGGAACGAGGGTGCAAAACTGGGACTGAAGAATGGTGGGGTGGGGCTTTTTTTTTTTTTGCACGACTGACACAATCGCTCCTTCGGTGATAACCGCCTTCACTTGTCCGATGACCAAAAGTGCTTTTTCGCTTGAAGCTGGTGTCGGGCAGCTGGATAAGGCAAATGAAGAGGCAGTAAGGTGATTTCTTTCTTCTTCTTCTTTTCTCCCCACAAATGGCATGGATGCATCTGAACAGCTGAGGTCAGACTAGGGTCCCAGGCTTGGCTTTGTCCTGTCCGTACCACTGGACATCGGAGAGTTCTGGATAAAGGGCGGAATCCAGGTAACAGCTATCGCTGTAGTTCCTACAGAGGGAGATGGAAGTTTGCATTAGTCCAGGTCGATTACAGGTGGCCCTCTACTTACGATGGATCACTTGGTGACTCTTCTGACCCAGCTCCCCAAACACGACCAACCCTCTGACGTGAACTCAAAAGATTCTTTTATTCGGAACGCCGGCAGCCCTGGGAAAAAGTTTCTCTCTCACCGCAGGATAAGGTCCATCCAGACAGGAGAGGAGTGGTCTGTCACACCTATCCATCTCCCCCCCCCCCGCCTTTTATCCCCACAGGTCGGGTGGGGCCTCGCTAGCAGTGGTGGCTCTTCCGTCCCAAGGACCAGCTCATAGATTTCCACTGCTCTCCTCTCCTCTGCCTTCTGTGCATCTATGCATCAGGCACTGGGCCCAGATGTTCCTCCTCTTCCTCATCAGCCCCCTCCAGACCTGGGAGGCTCTTGACTCACCATTGGAGGGCTGACGGACAGCCCAGGCTCCGCCTCTGCCCCTCCCTCTCTCTCTGCCATCTCCATCCCCTCTTTTCCCTTAGAGCTCCCAGGTTGCTCTGACGCTGACCCTGACTCCCAAGCCGCCTCCTCTTCCGACTTCGCTTCTGGAGGGGCCGATGGTCAACACGAAACAACAGTGACCAAACTTACAATGGATTCCTCCAAAGCTACTTATGACCCAATTCTGAAATTCTGGTAAACACCGCCCCCCTCCCCGAGCCTGAGAACATTTGACCACATTTGGGGTGTTTAGCAACTGGCTGGCATTTATGGCCATTTGCAATGTCCTGGCTACAATTTAGGACATTTTTGCTGGACATCAGCCTTTATGTCCAGTTTTCAGCCAAAATTACAGTGAACAATGGGAGCATACGCCCTCGCATCTGGACACTGGTATCCCTCCTGGTGGGAAGATATCTTGTTTGGCCTGCAGTTCTCCACCCTTCCAGCCATTCATTTCAGAAACCCCTTCAGTAAAACATGGCATGCGTTATTCCTCTTTTTCCTTCCACCCCATTTAGTCTTATATAAATACAGACGCGTTCAGCATTTGGGAGAGATGGTTGTAACCGACAGGAAAAAAAATATTCGCTGCTCAGGGTTGGGCTGTGGGGTCCTTGGCGCTCTCCGAGCATGGCGGTCTTCTTGTAGACCTTTCATGACCCAACTAGGGAACATCATCAGGGCTAACGTGAATGACATTACTTAGTTTGGAAATGAAACTTCGTGCAAGAAAACCACCAAGCTCGGAGAGGGTTGTAAGAGCGAAGAGCTGAAGGACACGCCAAAAATAAACGAAAGCAAGGATGGAGAGAGACATGCAAGGGGAAATTCATGCACGTCAAGGATGAAACATGCGTATATGAGCGCGATTGCACCGTTGGTTTGGTTCACTTCCACCAACAGTTTCACTAGCAGCTCGCTTGTGGTATTGGGTTAGAGCAAAGCTAGAGGACTCTCTTTTCACTTCTCTTGTTCTTCCCACTACGTACGTGTAACGTTTTGCCTGCTAAGTTTCTTTCTGCTAACCTTACGTGACCTTAGTTGTGGCACCAGGGGGGCTCCAATCCCGCATGCTTCATGCTGCTTACTTGGGATAAGAGAAGGAAATTGCGGTTTCTCTATACAGGAGCCAAGATTTACCCAACCGTTGGGCTCTTACTTAGTACAGTTCAATATTCTGGACTACACAGCTGACCAAACTTCTACTCCTTTCTTTTTGAGCTTCTTCTTTCTTGCCTTGCAATCTCTAATCCAGTGTTTCTCAAACTTGGATATTTGAAGAGGTGTAGACATTAACTCCCATAATTTTCCAGCCAGCATGGATAAATTTCAACTCCCATAATTCTCCAGCCAGTATGGATGGACTTCAACTCCATAAATCTCCAGCCAGTATGGATGGACTTCAACTCCATAATTCTCCAGCCAGTATGGATGGACTTCAACTGCATAATTCTCCAGCCAGCATGGATGGACTTCAACTCCATAATTCTCCAGCCAAGCATGGATGGACTTCAACTCCCAAAATTCTCCAGCCACCCATGATTTCTGGGACTTGAAGTCTACCCATCTTCGACTGGGCAAAGTTAAGAAACTCTGCTTTGATCCAATTCCCTACATTGTTCTGAGGTTCTCTCCCACCCACCCAAGAGACAAATTGTACAAAGCCCGAGACACAAGGGACACCACAACACGGCGGAGATGAAATCTGGGTTTAGAGTTGGGGGAAAAAAAGAACCCCAAACCCTCACTATACCTCTAATCATCATCAGTACTCGGTTGAGTTGGAGATTGAGACTCATCCATAGTGGGTGAGCTGCCTCTGGCATCTCTGAGCAAAGCAGAACCGAAGCAGAAGAGAAAGAGAGAGAGAGAGAGAGAGAGGGAGGGAGAGAAAGAGAGAAAGGAATGGGAGAAGATCAGCCATGTTAAAAAAGAAAAGGAGGGACACACAACTTTGCCAAGAGCTTATTCACACCCATCTGGAAATGATTTGGGGAGTCATTTCAGAAAGACAAAAGGGAGTTAGTGACGGAGGGAAGTGTGCTAAAAGTCAGTTTGGGGCACTGGGAGTTGCACGGGAAGAATTGGGGAAGGGTGGAAGAAGTGGAAAAAAGGGATATATATATATATATATATATTGCCAAGACGAGACAATGCAGTTCCTCGAACAGTGTTTCTCGATCTGGATCATCTTAAGAAGTATGGACTTCAATTCCCAGAATTCCCCTGGGAGTTGAAGTCCACGCTTCTTAAAGTGACCCAGGTTGCAAAACACCTAGACTAATTAAAAAACCCTCCCCTCTATAAAAGATCAGATATTCCCGAGGTTGTTGTTGTTTTTTTTCCCTCCCAAGGGTGCAAAATCACATATTATTATTTGATCGATTTATTTTTGTTAAGCAACCAGCTGTACCTATAACCTAGATCAACTCTTGGAAAAGTTCCCGCGCAGAATCCCTTCTCCTGAAACTTTGCGTGTGAGCTGGATCGCAGGATTCAGAAAACTGGGTCGCACCTCGGAAAACTCCACTAAAATGTTCAAATAGATTTAAAAACTTGGGAGGGATCGCCCGGCACCTTCGGGGACAGCGTGAGATTCATGGCCCAAGCAGCCCCTGGGCAAAATATTCCCAGGTGCTTCAAAACATCACCGTGGACCTAAGCCACCGGAGCTACCGGTACGCTCAAAATGGTCTGAACCGGTAGCATCCCACCCCTGATCTAAGCCAGGGGTGGTATTTTACTGGTTCGTCACGGTTCAACCGAAGCAGTAGCTCCGAGGGTCATCTATGAGCAAACTAGTTCGCTTCAATAATCAGCTGCTGGTGTATATTCTATATTCTATTCTATTCTATTCTATTATATATATATATATATATATATATATAAATATAAATATAAATATAAATATATAAAAATATACTTCTTTGGTCTTTTTAGTTGCCAGCAGAAAGGGGGAAAGCAGTGCATTCCTTAAATGTCGCAGATAATTGCCTTAGCAGCCCAAAGCTGTCGGCGCACAAGATTATTACTAGAGAGCATCACTGATGACTCTTGGCTATGGATGTGTCCCATTGGAGGATATACATCCAGGGGGTGGGGGGAAGACCAGGGTCAAGAGAGAAATGAAGGAGGTATTTTAGTGTCGGCTGCCCCCAGCTAACCCCAACATGGCCGTTCCTATTAAAACATTTTGTTTTAGTCTGAGAGATGCGGCTAGAGACATAGGATTTGAAGGGGGGTGGATTGATTGGAGCCCTGACAGCCCTGAAAGCTGGGCCCTCCCACCGGCCCTGGTTCTATTCTGACCTTTATTTGCTGTTTTTCAACCTCAGCTGCACTGCAGAGCACAGCGGATTGCTGTGGGTCAGCTGTTTTACACACAGCAGGTGAGTTGCAAACATTGTGCGCGCACGCAAAGCACGCGCTTCCACTGAACCCGTAGGAAAAATTTTTTTGGGGCGGAAACCCACCACCGATCTAAGGCCACACCTGACGCAACCACGCGTGGCTTTTCACAGGGTGACCATTGTGGGAAATCAGTGAAGTGTGAATTGCAACTTTATTCGGGTGGGTTTCTTTCCCCTTCTTTACAATCATTCGGAGACGCCAGCTATTAATTCAGAGAGTGCAGCGTGTTAAGTATAGAACAAAAATGATTGCAAAGGTCTGAGAAGTTTTTACACCAGGCGTTCTCAACCAGTGGTCCGTGGACCCCCGCGGGGTGTGTGGTGGTGCAATTTTGTCACAGGGGTTGGAACAAATGTTGTGATTTAAAATCTTAAGTCTTGGGGGTCCGTGGCCCATGGCCACCAAAGGTATTTAGGGGGGGGGTCGTGGTGAGGAAAAGGTTGAGATCCAACAGGTGGGTTTACAATGGGAATCCGTGACAAGCCCTTGGGCCTCTCTTCCTCCCCCCCCCCGGTACCCTCCCAGGGACCCCAAACTCACCCAGTTTGCCAAGCTAAGATGTGGTGTGGGCAGCTGGGGGTCAAAGACCCACAATCACTAGGTGTGGTGGTTGAAGTCCTCGGATGGTGAGGTAAGGCAGCTGGAAAAACAACGGAGACATCAAGTTGAGGTTCTCCTGCCCGTGAAACTGAATCTCTTGACGCGGGTTCCAAATATGATGTGATCTATGGCTAGTTCTTCCTTCCTTCCTTCCTTCCTTCCTTCCTTCCTTCCTTCCTTCCTTCCTTCTTCCCTCCCCCCTTCCTTCATTTTTCTTTCTCTTTCTTTCTTTTCTTTCCTTCCTTTTCTATTTCTCTCTCTCTCTCTCTTTCGACTGAATAACAGCCAATGCAGTTCCAACTTCTCTCCTTTATTTACAGATAGTCCACGGCTTACAACAGTTCATGTAGTGACCGTTTGAAGTTGAAGTTACAACAGCACTGAAAAAAAGTGACTTATGACCATTTTTCACGCTTTTGCAGCATTCCCCAGGGTCACAAGGGTCAAAATCCAGGCACTGGGCAATCGACTCCTATTTATGACTGTCACAGTGCCTCGTGGTCCCCTTTTGCGACCTTCTGACAAAGTCAACGGGGGAAGCCAGATCCATTTAACACTTGTAGCAACAAAGGTCATGAAATGAGGTCAAACTCGCTTAACCGTCTAGCTTAGCAGCAGAAACGTTGGGCTCCACTGTGGTCATAAGTCTAGGACTACCTGTATGCATTTCTTTGTTAAATTTGTTCACTGCCTGTATCCCCATGGGACAACTCCAGGTGTTTAACAACAACAAATGCACAAATGTGGAAAAACTCCCAATATACCTAGCGAAGAACTAGTCCAACAAAAAATAATGGAAAGCACTGAAATGAATATCCTCACATTGAAAATGAAAGAGGAAGAGGATTCTGAGTATTTTTCAACTTGGCATAAATGGTACGAATGGATAGCGAATAAAAATAAGAAATGTAAAGATTAATTAATCTGTAAGAGACCTTAAGAAAATGAACTGTAAATATATAAAATATATAAGACTATAACTATTGATAAGGAGATTAATTAGATGTCAAAATGCTGTTGAAATGATGATGATTTGAGCTGTAATGATGGAAATACAATAAAAATATATTTTTAAAAAATATTGGGTAAACAGAAGCAAAACAATAGAACAGTGAAGTGTACAAGGACAAAGGAACACGGCGATAGTAAATCCATCAATGTGATAAATAAGCAAAAGGATAGATAGGTGGAGAACAGAGAGCAAGGGGGACTCAGGTGGAATTTCCCTGCCTGGATACCTGTCCACGCACTCAAAGTCAAAATGGCAGCCATGACACCGATTAAAGCCCTGCCGCATTTGCAAAAGGCTTTCTTTGATGGTGTGATTTCTGCGGGCCTCTCGACTCTTTAATTCTCTCTGCATCTGCTTGATTTTAATAAAAGGGCCGAATTTTTCACTGGAGTGGCTTATTTTTAGCAGAAACTGTATCTCCCATGGCCCTAACTTCAGACAGCTGTGATAATATTAAAATTCTTCAGCAGAGCCACCCTGTCTGCTGTTGGAATCCGGTGGCTTCAAAACGGGTATAACTAAAATGTTTTAACGAACGCCAAGAGGCACCAGGCATGCTTTGCATTCTGGAATTCGTAGAGCTTCGTCTTAATCAGCGAAGAATGGATTTTTAGAGGCTTCCGACAAGCAAAAAGCTTTGTTTGCCTTCCGGGCAAACAAAAACACAAAACTCTTACGTAAAGCACCTAGAGATTCTCCGGATCGATCAATCGCACAAATTTGGTTGAAGGTCTCTAAAGCTAAAACAAAAGTTAGTTCACATTTTATTTCTGCAATTTGAGGCAGAGCTTCAGATTTAACGTTGTCACAGTTAATTGTCCTACATGTTTGAACTCGGGTGGGTTGCGCCAAGTGGCTGTTCGATTAATGCAAGATTTGAATTTGTGCAAATTGTTAAACTGATACCGAGTGGTGCGGTGGTGTAGAGATGGAAGCTCTTGCCTCACAATCAGGAGGCTGTGAGTTGGATCCCAGGGCGAGGCAGATATTTCTCTCTTTCTCTGGGCACAGTGAGAATGTATCTGCTGAACAAAACTCTGCGTTGGCAACAGGAAGGGCATCCGGCCAGGAATGCTAGCTCCATTCAGGCGCCCGGATTCCACCCCGCAAGGGATTATGGAGTTGTTAAATGAAGATGATGATGTTAAATCGATATCGGGTCGTAGTTAATGCAAGCCAAAATTCAGTTCAAGTGAGCCTGGTATGTGTGACATTGAAGTTGATGGTTGGGCAGTTGTGGTTGTGGTTTTAGACGCTTTGCGTGCACCAAATAGAGAAGAGGAAGATCCCGTCAGTGGAGGTTTAACACAGGGGCTTTGTGCTTTGGAGAATAGGGGGACCCCCTCCCATTCTTTGTGGCATCCCCTAAAATATTGCAACAGTGCTATCATGTCCGCCCATATCCTTCTTTTCGTTAGACTAGACCTACCCAGTTCCTGCAACCGTTCTTCGTAGGTTTTAGCCTCCAGTCCCCCAATGAATCTTTGTTGCTCTTCTCTGCCCTCTTTCTAGAGTCTCAACATTGTTTTTACGCCGTGGCAACCAAAAAGGGATGCAATACAGGTAGTCCTTGAGTTACAACAGTTTGTTTAGTGACCGTTTGAAATTACGATGCTGAAAAAGCGACTTATGACTGTTTTTCACGCAACGGTTACACCATCCCCATAAGTCATGGGATCAAAATTTGAAGGCTTGGCAACTGGCATGTACTGATGACGGTTGCAGTGTCCCAAGGGGGTGTGTGTGTCACGCAATCCCTTTTTGCAACGTTCTGACAAGTGAAGTCAAATGGGGAAGCTGGAATCATTCATCCAACGGTGTTACTACAGCAATAATTCCCTTAACAACTGTGGCCAGAAAGGTCATATAATATGGGGTAAAATTCACTTAGCCACCATCTCATTTAGCAGCAGCAATTTTGGGCTCTCCAGTTGTAAGTCGAGGACTGCCTGTACTCCCAAGTGTGGTCTTACTAAAGCTTTGCAAATTGGTACTAACCCTTCACATGATCTTGATTCTATCCCTCCGTTAACACAGCCTGGAACTCCAGACATACGACATGCTTGTGGGCTAATTCCCACATTTAATGTGGCCATTTTAGGTTTCTGTTCTTGGTTTGACTTCCTCCTCATTCCTTCCACCCCAGTTGGAGTGCTCAGCCCCTAATTGGCTGTGTAAAAAAAAGACTGGATATATAAGTATTAACTGAATGTGATTATTAGCTAAGATGCTGCTTATGTTTGGCGATCGCTCTTGGTGGGTGACTTTCGAAACACCTTCAAGTTCTTACGCTTTTGAGAAAGTCTTAATTACAGCGGTGGCACCAATCTTTAATCTACTTCTAGCTTTAAATCACCGCTCTTGGAGCATTTAGTTTCTTATCAAAAGAACTCTCTGAGTAGGCAAATATCATCTAGGCAATAGATGATGTTTTGTGCAGGAGCCGAAGCGGAGAGAGAATCGTTTATTTGAGATCAGGATTAAAACCAGAATTCGAAGTCGCCTGGTCTCTGCAACGCCCTGACATTTGATCCAAGGAGTAACCTCTTTGTAGGCACTCACTGCTTGCTTCACGCTGACTCATTCTGCTTTATCCCAAAGGCAGACAGGCAATTCATTGTTATCAAGGGGCGGCCCGTAAAAGACCACCCAGAAGCTTCAACTGGTCCAGCGTACGGTGGCACAAGCAACAATGGGTGAGCTTCAAAAGGCCTTTGTAAGATTGTTGTGCTGTTCATTGCTTTGTTTCTAGGTGTTGGTTGTCACCCAGAAAGCCTAACATGGGATAGGCCTGCTTATTGAGGGGCTGCCTGTCCCCATAACATCCAATTTGATCCCGCAGAGTTCCTTGGATTAAGCAATGCCATGGCTGTCTCAAAGGTGCTTTTTTTCCAGGCGCAACCGGACTTCCTTGTTTTTGCTCAAAGAGGTTTCACTTCTCCTCCAAGAAGCTTCTTCAGTTTCTGACTGAATGGTGGAGAACGGAAGGATTTAGTATATTCATCTGGTTATTGGCACTCCGTTGGACCAAGAGGATCTTGAGGAACATACTAACTAAAACCTTCCATTCTCCACCATTCAGTCAGAACTGAAGAAGCTTCTTGGATGAGAAGCAAAACATTTTCAAAGGAAAAAAACAAGACACTCCAGCTGGAAAAGCACCTTTGGGAGAACCACAATTTGGTTGATCGGAAATCTCTGCAAACTTTACTTTTTATGTCATATTGTGTGGCGGAATCGCTGGCTGAAGGAGATAAGGGAATAAAGAAAAGTGCCAATATGGAGTTGCTCTGTGGGAGAATAAGCCAAACTAGGGAAGCCCTGATCTGCCTGTTCCCAAGAGAATGCAGAGAATGGCAAGATTCTTATAAAAGAAGTGATCGACAATAAAGACATTACTTTGGCCTGTTCACGGAGTTGTTCTGGTTCCCTGTGCCTGATATATTTGATTTTATTGAAACTGTGAGATGCCCAGAGTCATTGAGAGTTTGGGTGGTGAACCAGTTTAAAAATCATCATCATCATCATCATCATCATCATCATCATCATCATCCTATTAGCTTGAGAAACTCTTTATATGTTAAGATATTTAATTTAATAGCTGGAACAGTAAAGTGTACAATGGGCCTGAACACACTGTCATAATTGATCGGTTGGAGAATGTGGGGCTCCCACCTGAGGCAATCTATGTTATGATTGGTTGCAGGGTGACCCATCACTCTGTCATGAGGTAAATTGTGAGGTAAATCACAGAACAGCATACAGAGCACACAGAAGAAAAAAGGCGGGAAAAAAGGGGGAGTTTCCCTTTTTTCCCGCCTTCTGTGTGTGCCCTGTATGCTGTTCTGTGATTTACCTCATGATGGAGTGACGTGCCTGACTTATCTTGTCTGCTGTTAATATGGACGCTAAATATATTTATTTATATAGACTACTGGTTCATGTCAGCGTCTCTAACTCCATTTGGACACCTGCTGCACAATTCCCTGACATTATGTCTCCTTGCCCTGTCAGAGAGACCTGGGATTTATTCATTCAACCTGGTTTAAATGCCACCAGAATTTCTCCCACTTACCTGACGTTGCTTTGCACATGGGAGGCATCCTGGTTACCTTACTGTGCGCAACGAAGGTGCTTTGAGAGGAGCTACTGTACTGGGAGCTGCTATCCGACGAAGTGGAGCTTGTGTGCGACAACCGGCTGTGGTCTTTGTGGGTGGCCGTGGACCGCTGGTACCATAGTCTGAGTTCATCCGAGACCACAGTCCTCCCCGATCCCTTTTCGTGGCCATCTCTCCCCAGTGAAGGAGTCCTTATGATCTGAGACCGGGAAGGAGTCAACCGGATGGAGTCCACTTCATCTCCGTGCCAGTTTTCCTTAAACATGCCCCCTGCCGTGTACGAATTGGACGTTTTAAACTGTGCTTTCACGCTGTAGTGTCCCTCCTGGTCGTTTTCGAGGCTACGCACCACCACCGGTGTCGAGCTCCCTTCGATGTACAGCGGATACTCTTTGATCCTGTACTGGGAGGAAGGCTGGCTTTGGCTGTGCAGGTAGACACCGTGATGGCCGTTCCCGTTCCCATTCCCGGCAGCCAGGTTGGGCATGCTTCCTGAATTGGAGCAGACGAGGTTTCCGGCTGACTTGTGCCGCTGTCTCTGGCGCTCGCGAGCTTTGGAGGGTGAGTCCTCTGCCAGGGTGGAGTAATTTGCATTCATCTGAGCCGGGTAGTAATGCTCGGAGCTGGAGTGGCTCGTACAGGAGGAACAGTCATCCATGGGGTCTGACCCATTACTGCTACGAGTCCTTGGCGTGTAGAAGTCAGGGCTCCCCGTCTCGTTTTCCGAGCCGAGAAGCTTTCCTTGTGACTCTAAACTAGAACTCCGGTGTCTAAAGTGCTGAACTAAACAATGCAGCCTGGTAGGACTGATGTCCACCGATCTGTAAGGCCAGAGAAACAGAGAGGAGGAAAACGAATTAAGACTTTAAACATCACTACAGGGGAAAATCTCTTGGTGGAAACTGGCCCTTGGGATAATTCCAGCATATAATTCCAGCATGCCTTAAATCCCTTCAACCCAAACTGGCACCTAATACCTGCATAGTGTCAAGGCTCCAACAAACCACCCCCATTCAAATCATATGTCTCTAGCTGCAGCTTCCAGAGTAAAAAAAAATGATTTATTAGCAGTGACCATGTTGCCATTACCTGGGTTCAGCGGACTCTAAGACCCATCATTCATTTCCCCCTTGACCCTGGTCTTCCGCCCACTCCCTGGATGTATATTCTCCAATGGGACACCTCCATAGCCAAGAGTCCTCAATCATGCTCTCCAGTAATAATCTTGCGTGCCAAGACCTTCGGCTGCCTAGCAATTATCGGAAACATCTAAGGAATGCACTGCTTTCCCCACTCCCTTTCTGCTGGCAACTAAAGAAGTATTTTTTAGTTGACACATAGCACACAGTGAAAGTCAGATATGTGGAAACCTTTCAGAAAAGCTTTAATCCAGGGTGTTTAGTCTTGGCCACTTTTAAGACTTGTGGACTTCAACTCCCAGAGTTCTCCAGCCAGCATGGACCATGGTCGATCCCATTGACCAAGCGTGGCTGATTCTATGACCAACATGCCCTTTTCTTCCTCCTTCCCTCAGCTAAATCTTTACTTCAGAACTTCAAATGCAATTCTGTTTGAATCAGCTCTTCATCACTCTAACAAACCAAACACAATGTTCATGATTTGGAGACACGTTCAGAAAGGGCAAATTATTTTGGCCTGTTTTTAATGGTGCAGTTTTTACAGTTTTATTGCTTCCTGTTCAAGTGGGAAGGGTGTCCGTCTCGAAATATCAACGCTGAGACATCATTCGTGAAGGTGGAACCCATTTCTTTCAATTTTGGCTAAAGTATTTTGAGGTTGATCTGGCCTCACTGGAAGCATTCCAGGCTGAGAACGCTTCTGGTGAGATAGCAATCACAGTAAGACTATTTACAGCCGTCTCCATGGGATTTACAGAGTCAGCCTGTTGCCCCCAACAATCTGGGTCCTCATTTTATAGACCTTGGAAGGATGGAAGGCTGAGTCCATCTTGAGCTGGTCAGGATCGAACTCCTGGCAGTGGGAAGAGTTAGCTTGCAATACTGCAATCTAACCACTGTGTAACCACTACTTCCTTAGAACTTAGCAATAGCGCTTAGACTTATACACCACTTCACAGCCCACTCTAAGCGGTTTACAAAGTCAGAATATTGCCCTCAACAATCCTCATTTTATGGACCTTGGAAGGATGGAAATCTGAGTCCATCTTGAGCCGGTCAGGATCGAACTAGCAATCAGCAAAATTAGCCTGCAATACTGCATCCTAACCACTGCGCCACCACAGCTTTGGATGGAAGCAGCCCACATTGATCTCAAAACATTTCCAGTACAATTTCTCTACCTCTGTTTCTATTAAGTTATTTGAATTAAAAGAGTTTTATGCCAGGAGACCAAGAGAGGAAGGGAAAGAGAGGAAAGGACTCACCGGGTGGAATGGACATAATGTGGGCTTCGTACGCGTAGATCTGGTGTTGATGGCATGCTGGATTGGGTGTTCCAATGAGGGAGATTCCTCACTGGGCTGTTCTGGAGGGAGTTGCTTCCTCCACCTTCCACACAACTTCCAGTACTGGGAAACCGCTTGTGACTGGTGCCGACAAAAGACAACGAGGAATTCAAAAGACGTCCTTTTATTTTACACACGTCGTGTTTTACATGCCCACCATCTCCCCTTTACGTACACGGACAACCGTCAGGAAGACCTTCAGCAAAGTTTGGGTTTTCCAGATATCATCCCAACCACCGTTACAAGCGTTTTCTCCCCCATAACTCTCTCCAGATGCCTTGAGATGGGAAGTTCCTCATCATCCGAGGGTTACGAGACTGGGGTAGCCCAGTGAAAGGAATGTGGTCAGCCAAGTAGTCGGATGGAGGGCAAATTGGGGCATTCATGCCTTAGAATAACACAGCAAACAGGGTTGAGAGGGACTTTGGAAGTCTTCTAGTCCACCTCTCTGCTCAAGCAAGGAGACCTTTATCCATTCTGGACAGATGGCTGTCCGGTCTCTTCTTGAAAACCTCCAGTGATGGAGAAGCACCCATAACTTCTGCGGGGAAGCCGTTCCACTGGTTAATTATCCTGACCGTTAAGAAACTCCTTTTTACTTCTATGCTGGATCTCTTCTTTAATGATTTTTCCCACCCATTGCTTCATGTTTATATATAAAATTACCCAGGTTAACTCAAGATCTGTAGAAAGTGGTTACCATCTTTGTTTCTTCCAGAGTTAAAAACTCAAGTTATGAAGAATGGTTGCAGGGATTGGGCTTGTCTAGTTGAATGAAAAGAAGGACTAGAATGGATGAATAATAGCAGCCTTCCAATATCTAAGGGGCTGCCCCCAAGAAGAGGGAGTCAAGCTATTCTCCAAAGCGCCTAAGGACAAGATGCAACAGGTGGAAACTCATCAAGGATAAGAACAATCTAGAACGAAGGGGAAACTTCCTAACAGTGAGGACAATTAACCAGTGGAACAGCTTTGCCTTCAGAAATCGTGGGTGCTCCCTCACTGGAGGCTTTCAAGAAGAGACTGTCTGAAATGGTATAGGATCGCCTGCTTGAGTGGGGGGCTGGACTAGAAGACCTCCAAGGTCCCTCCCAACTGTGCTATTCTGAGAAATTTATGCAGAAGCTTTACAGAGTGTCCATTGGCACATTAATGCATGACCCTGGAATGTGCTAGCAACCCTTTGCTTTATTTGCACAATAGGGCGCTCTGAAGTCCTCCAATGATGGACGGAAGGCCCACCTCACCTGCCCTGGGCTCACCTGGAGTGGCTGTGAGAAGGACGCTTCTTCACCTTCTCGTAAGGCTCATCCAAGGAAGACTCGCTCCACATCTTGGGCTTAATGGGGGATTTGTCGTAGTCGTTCCGGTGATAGTGCATCTGCCGAAGACCCTCCAGAGACTGGGGAGGGGGAGGCCTGTTGTGCAAGGGGGGGCGAGGAGGGAGCCCTTTGTGAGGTGACTGCAAAGGGGATATTGTGCTGGTAGCCGGGCAGTCTTCTGGAATGGAAGGAGAAGAAGAGTCAGGCACCAAGGACCAGGATCCATCAAACTGATTTAGCGCTGAAAGTCTACACACAGAAATCTTCTCAATAGCACTCAAAGGGATTTGGGTTTACTTTGTTTGGCTACCTAAGAATTCTAGGCTGATGTCTCTCTTGACTCCCCCCCCCCCCCCAAGTTCTCCTACAAGGAGAGAACATTTTTTAAGCCCCCCTGAAGTTCATCCCATCTCTTTAGTTTAATTACTTGACTGCCTAATATTAAGGCACCTTTTTATCGAATGTCAACGTCACAAGGAGCCTAAGGATATAAATCCCACGAATGAGCAAAGTCTGGGTGAAAAAGATACATTTAATGGAGTTAGGTTCCTAGGTGGGTCTTGATGCTTGTGGAAACGGACACCCCCCTACGCATAAATAAAATACCGACGTAGCATCTTCTGGTTGAACTAAAACAAGCAAGCCATCCTTTTGGATCAAAAACTTGACTCCCACCCCAGTGACACCCAAATTAAAGGGTAAAATCTTTTTGAAAAATGACATTATGGGCAAGAAGATCAGCCGATTAAAGTAGGTCGAAAAATTACTTGAAACACAGGGAGTTGGAGTATATTTGAAATGAATCCAGCTCCATAGCTTCTTCCCTATATTTTCATGCTATCCCCAAAACTAAGGAAGACAAATACAAACTCCTTACTAATCCCCCACAAGGGACAAAGCGCCCCCCAGACAGGAGATCTGCAGATGAGCTCCTGCCTCACTTCCTATAATCCAACTCAAGATACGGATCACGCCAAAATGGGTGCGACAGATAGATCATTGGACCAGAATCATTTAGCCCAAGCACTGATGTATGGTGGTTGGAAATAAAGGTTCTCTCTTTATTCTTTTGATGTACCGCTGCCTTTTAAAATGGTTTTTGTTTTTGCAATGACAGCATTCTTACCAAATGCAAAAGATGGTAAGTGTTCTGAACCAGCTCCTCAAACACGACAAAACCTCTGACCTGAACTCAAAAGATTCCTTTATTAGGAGCGCCAGCAGCTTCGGCAAAAAATTTCTCTCTCACCGCAGGCTAACAAGTCCGTCCGGCCAGAAGATGAATACTCGTTTGCGACACCTATTCATATCCGCCCCTGCCTTTTATCCCCACAGGTCGGGTGGGGCCTTGCTAGCAGTGGTGGCTCTTCCATCCCAAGGACCGGCCCATAGATTTCCACGGCTCTCCTCTCCTCTGCCTTCTGTGCATCCATGCATCAAGCACTGGACCCAGCTGTCCTCCTCTTCCTCATCAGCCCCCTCCAGACCTGGGGTCTGTTGACTCACCATTGGAGGGCTGACGGACAGCCCAGGCTCCACCTCTCTCTCTCTCTCTCTCTCTCTGCCATCTCCATTCCCTCTTTCCCCTTAGAGCTCCCAGGTTGCTCTGATGCTGACCCTGACTCCTTCACCACCTCCTCCTCCTCCTCCTCTGATTCGGTGACTGGAGGGGCCGGCAGCTGACTGGCCAAAACAATACGTCTCCAACATTTTTTTTACCTACCGTCTTCCAGAACATGAGCGTCCGAGAGGGAGCTATCTTCACTGGCAATGTTTCCATCTAGGAAGCCAAGAGACCACAGAGGAGATCCAGTCAACGAGGAAGTGAAATCGGCCTTGATACCCCAACAGTCAGATAACGAAAGACGTGCTATCTTTCTCCAGACCCATCCCATTAGCCAAAGGATGGGCAACCTCTAGGTGTTCCGGTACTATAAGTCCCAACTGCCCTAGCAAGTCTTGCCAGTGACCAGGGACTCTAGTGGATGTAGGACAGCAAAGATGGAAGGCCACCTGTTTCTCCAGGGTTTCTCCAGCATCCTATTTCTCCTCTACAAATGTTTCCAGCAAATGCATGTAGACGATAATTTGACTACTGCCTCTAAACAATGAAATTCATTGATGATAAACAGCCACTGATTTACCATTAATTTGACTTAAGACCATTCGTTTAGTGACTGTTCGAACTTATGAGGCACTGAAAATGGTTTACTTATGACTAGTTCTCGCTCTTATGACCATTGCAGGGATGCTGCCGTCAGATAATCAGAATTTGGATGCTTAGCAAACATGATGGTTGCCACATGACATGGGATCATCCTTTACAACCTTTCCGGGGGAACCTCTGACAAGCAAAGTCCACGGAGAAACCTGGATTTGTTTAATAACCATGTGGTTCACTTAAAGACCGTGGTGATTCACGTAAAAAACCGTGGCAAAAGAGGTCTTAGAATCAGGCACGATCATTTAACGGCCACATCACTTGGCAAGGGAAGTTCCAATTGTGGTTGTAAGTCAACGTATTCTTAACAGCTGTGTAAAACAGTGGCTCTTTTAACTGGGGATCTTCAAACAAAATTTCAAAGAGTCCACAACTAAGTACCTATTTATCATCGGCATTTGTGAGGGTGTTGTAATCACAACTCCTCTTAGCCCATGTCGCAATTACAACAACTCTTGGTGCAAACCTGATCGGAAATGGTCTTCCACAGACATCTTTCGGTACTGAGGGATGTTTAAGCTCAGTGAAATCCCATTCATGGCTTTGTTTCTCTTATTCCCATTTTTCTTCGGGGCTGCTTGTGTGAGATTGCAAACCCACAAAAATGCAGACTTGCAATCAGTAATTGCACTTGACCCCTATTGTTTCCTATTGTTACTTCCTGAATTTAATACTCAGGTGAATAGTTGCAAAGGGGTTGAAGAGGTTCTGGGCCATGAAGATGAGATGGTCCCCTGGTGGACTTCCACAATTCCTACTCTGAGAATCTCCAAACAGGGTTTCTCCATTATTTCTTCAAGCGGCCTACGAGACCCTACAATACCATGTTTCCCCAAAATTAAGACCCTGTCTTACTTTTTTATTTTTTATTTTTCCACCAAAAAAGGCACCAGATCTTATTCTCGGGGGAAGTCCTCTACTGACTAACCTTACTTGCGTGCGTCACCCCGGCCTCCTTTTCACTGTCAGGGGCCTTCAGGGACTTCTTCTTCTGTGGCCGGCAAGGCTTTTCTGAAGGCAATAACAGCTGATAATTCCAGATCGATCCGGAGCTTTGTTATCGGGTCCAGAGGCCTTCAGGAAAGCCTTGCTAACTGCAGAAGAAATGGGCTGGCAAGGCAGGTGTCGAGGTTGCTACAACAGTCCAAAGATAAGTAGTATGACAGCTCCACCCTCCCATCCTCACCCTAGCTTAATTTTTACCTGTGCACTCAAGTGGGTAGGATCTTAGTTAGGGCTTATTTGGGGGGGGGGTAGGGCTTATATTGGGCACATGTGTAAAAATCAAGCTAGGGCTTACTTTCAGGGTAGGTTGTATTTTCGGGGAAACAGAGTACCAACCTCTAAACCCCATCCCATCTAAAGAAAGTCTCAGGATATCACGGAAGGTCAACTGTCTTTACCATCTATGATCAGTGAAGCTCTTTGGGTTGGCTTCTTCCCCGATCGGATGCGGTACTCGTTGATGGAATTTTCAATCTCCTGAAGCTTCTTCAGCGCGTTCAGATAGGAGGTCTTCCTCTGCTTCTTCAGCTTCTTGCTGACATTGGGCTCGCTGGCCAGGCGTCGAGCAGCTTCCGTGATCTGGGACTGGATGGCAAATTCCCTTTCCAAGCGTTCCAACTCAGCTTCCTGTCCGAGAGGAAAGAAGTTTCAACGGTCAGCGCGTCTCAAGGTTGTCCGTTGGCTTCGTTTCACGGGATTGACATTGGATCAACAGAAACATAGGACTGTCCTCTATCAAGGGAAGTTGAACTTTTCTTTAAACTTCTATCATGTATCGTACAAACTATGTCTAGCTTAATGGAAAGAAGGACTGGGGGTGACATGATAGCAGTGACGGAACCTGGACCGCCATTTGTCAGAAACGGTTTAGGGTCTCCCACTCGGGCAGGGGGGTTGGATTAGATGTCCTACAAGGTCATCTTCCAACTCTGAGTATCTGTTATCTCAAGGATTGCCCCAAAGAAGAGGGAGTCAAGGTATTCTCCAAAGCACGTGAGGGCAGGACAAGAAGCAACTAATCAAGGAGAGAAGCAACCTAGAACTAAGGAAGAATTTCCTGACAGTTAGAACAGGTTTTCAAGAAGAGTTGGATAAACATTTGTCTGAAATGGTATAGGGATTTCCACCCTGAGTAAGGGGTTGGAGTAGAAGTCTTCCAAGGTCCCTTCCAACTCTGTTATTCTATTCTATTTATTCTATATTCTATTCCTTTTCCCAATGGATGAAATACAAATAAAAATCGAAAATGAAGGGAAGAAAAAAGAAAGGGGGAAAAATATATGAGGTACAGGGGAAGAAAGAAAAAGGCGTCGACTTGATTTTAGTACAGTACAAGATAACATTACAACCTCGATTTTTTTTTTCTAGCTTCCCCACCATCCTGTCAGAGCGGAAGAAGCTTCTTGGATGAGAAGCGAAATGTCTTCAAAAGAAAAAAAAACAAGGAAGTCCAGTGGCCTCCTGAAAAAAAAAAGCACCTTTGAGAGGAAGACCCCATTTTATTCCAGACTTCCAGTGATGGAACAATACACAACTTCTGGAGAGAAGCTGTCTCACCGGTTGACTTGTTCTCACTGGAAGAGAGTCTCTCCTTAGTTCTAAGGTTTCTCCTCTCCTTGATCAGAGATGAGTGATTGGAGCTTCTCTCTTTGATTGGGAATGATCTCTTCCCCTAATCCCGCTGTGGGTTTTGGAAGCCGTGACGCTCACTTTTGCACATCAAAGGGACATTTCCTATTTCAACGTACCCGCCTGCATCTGAACAGAAGGGCCTGGCTTGACTTCATCCTTCATCAAGGTAATATGGCTGTCCTTGGCTCCTCTCAAAAAGCTCTTTTGATGTTTAGGATGACTCAGCACCGTTTTAAGTCCGTAACTACAGCTCTTCCCTTGTTGCGTTTGGCCAAACAGCTATTATTCGTGGGCGCTTAAAAGTTTCCCTTTGAAGATTTTATAATCTCTGTCAACAGCGAGCTGATTAAAAATGCATTTCACACAAGACATAAATGCTACGGCCTGTTTTCTCCCTCCCATCCACTCCGACACCTCGGCTTTCCTCCATCCTCCAAAAAACTCTCCCACATCCACAGAAAGCGAAGGATTTAAAAGCACCGATGGATTAAAAGCACCGCTCAAGATTTATTTATTTTTTTTAAAAAAAGTGCATTTGATCTTTGAACTGTGGATGAAGTTCACACCCCAGCTCTAAGAGTCTGAAACTTCTGAAAAGGGCTTTAAAAAGCTTTACAACCGTTGCACGTTCCAAGCAAAGAAAATGTTAAAAAATAAAACCATCAGCCTTATGAGATTCTGCAAGAAGGGATACGAGTTTGTTAGTATCCTACTTACAATCCCAGTTTGAGGTGCAGCTAAAAAAAGATGACGTTTGTAAGGCTCATTGCAGGCTGAAGACATCCATCTCACACTCCTTCATGTATAACAAGGCAATATTTTATTGCCCGGGCATGTGTGTGGTTTATCAGAATTAATTAAAACACACACACACACACACACACACACACAGAACTGAATATCTGAAATCTTTAAAAGGCAGGTCTACAATATAAGCATCAACTTCTTTCAAATCTTTATTTAATTGATGTGTGTGTCCAGGAGAACAAGCTCCAACATCCTTAATGCAGATAGAGACACCTTCAAAAGGAATTCTCCAGCAGACTGAAAATCCAGAACACACTCACCATAGAAGGTGTGATTGTCAGAGACACAGCTCTTGAGGTGCAATTCTTTTAACACAAGCATGTCTCCTAGGGCGTTAAAAAAAACAAAAGATCTGCTGTGTGCTCTGCGTAGGGGTTGGGAAGGGCAACTGGCTGGTAAATGCCCCGCTCCATCCAGTCGCCTCAACTTTACTCCAATTTAAGGGACTTACAAGGTCATAAAAAGAGATTTGCTTTAAAAATACCAGCCTGCCATAATCCACCTATCGGGTACCTCAACTGCTGCATTTTTCAGAGTTAGGATTATTAAGAACAGCCCAAGTAGAGTGCACGGAAAGACTCAAATTAAAAGCAAGGCTAAATATCTCGGCAGATTCTCAGTCATCCAGGTCAGGATTGTCCCAAAGCTGTTTTTCCAAAAGGCAAATCTGGATTTTATTTTATTTTTCTTGAAAAACCCTTCTGAAGAACTGACAGAAGCTTCTTGGATGAGAAGCGAAATGCTTTCAAGGAAAAGGATAGCCCAAGGAAGTCCAGTTTCCTTTTGGAAAAGCACTTTGGGGACAGTCAAGGGAGGAGGAAGGTTTGCTAAATCCATCTGCTTCAAGGATCTCCTCCTAACTTCCATCTCGAAGGCTGGACTGGTAGATGGTGAGGCTGGTCCTTCAGCAAACAGCAGGAGGAGGCGAGCAAGTATTGTTTAATGATCGATCCACGGGATCTCTTTTTGGGTTGGGATCCATGTCAGTTTGGTCTCCCTCACCAGCCAACATGAACTCATAGCACGGCAATAGATAGATGGACGAAAGAAGGACAGAAAAAGAGGGATGACAGGGTGACTGGATTTTCCAGAGCCTTGTAGCAACCAAGTATTTGGCCACCGTGGTGCACAGTGGGTCATTTACCTCTCCCTTGGGTAGCATTTTCTGTTCATCCAGTTTAAAAGAAGTACCAATCCTTCTCCTCACGCTTGGGGGCTCCTCCCCCGGGTTGAGGGGATACTCCCTTGGCAGTTTTCCAGTAAGTTCCTGAAAGCACATAGCAAAGCCAGGAGTTAATTCGCAGGGATCTTTGAGACCCTGCCTCAAATGGATGTAAAACAAGCTTAACAACATTGAATCCATGCTGGTGTTCTGACCCAAACCTGGTTCCAAGAGAGCAAACACAAGGCAAAGGCAGCAGTACAACCTTTTAATGTTGCATCTTATGAACCCTGTTCTTTCACGGATAAAAGGCTGCTTCCAACTAATTAGCTCTGACAAGAAAGAGCCTTGCCAAGTTTTTGCCAGGCTGCCCAAAAAAAACAACAGATAAGAAATAGTTTACAACACAAGAGTCTTCAAATACCAACTGTAATGTCCACGAGGCTGAGTTTCAAAACGTCTTTGCCTACTGCAAAGTATGTTCGTTTCATAGCTGGCTTTTACCTTCTTGAAGGAGGGGCCATTACCTTGCAGCCTTACTCCCAAGTCGCCCGTGCTGCTGCAGCTGCTCTTTCCTGTGAGCAGCCCTGTGTCCTCATCGCTGCTGCCAGCCCCCACTATCTCTGAAGGCAGCAGTCCACTCCCTAATGGTCCTGGCACCTCATCTGAGTCCTCACTGTCCTCAGCTGTCCGCACCTGCGGCCAGCTAACCACAACAGCTGGGACCTTTCAGGAATCCACCAATGTATTTGCAAAAGAGGGCAAAGAATATGGTGGTAACCTCCCCACCTAGTTGCAAGAGACTGAAGTCATTCCTGGGGTGGGCTGGGGGCCCAAGATGGTGGGTCCAACTGAATGATCAAAGACCCACCCCTTGGTGCTTGACTTAAACCAAGGGTCTTCAAATTTGGAAAGTTTAAGACTTATGGACTTCCAACTCCCAGAATTCCTGAGCTAATATGACTGGAGGAGGAATTCTGGGAGTTGAAGTCCACAAGTCTTAAAGCTGTCAAGTTTGAAGGCCCTTGACTTAAACTCCCAATTTAAAGACCCATGTGAAATCTTTCTTTCTTTCTTTCTTTCTTTCTTTCTTTCTTTCTTTCTTTC